AGGCCGAGGGAACAGGACTGGGGTAGGACAGGGCTGAGGACTCTGGGTTGGGGTAGGAAAAGGAGGGGGAACTGTGGTGGAGACTCAGGGAACAAGGTTAGGCTGGGGACAGCTGAGGGCAGTGGGTCAGGGTGGGGGGAGCAGGGCGGACCGTGGGGGAGGCTGAGGAACAGCGGTGGGGTGTGGCAGGGCAGATGGCAGTGGGCCAGAGTAAGGAGATGGGGGGACTGCAGGGGAGGCCTTGGGAACAGGGTCCAAACTCCTGCCCCGTTCCCAGCGCATCACCCCTGTGTGTTACAGGGCACAGCAGGTCCTGGGGCCCCGGCCTGGCCGTGGGCATCACCCAGGGGGCTCTGGCTGTAGCCGCCGTGGCCGTGGTGCTGTGGTGGAGAATGCGCAGGTGAGTCCTCTCCCTCTCTGGGGTGGGGAGGCCGTTGCACCCCCTAACCCATCCCCTCTGCTCTCTCCTTCCAGGGGCCATCAGGACGTCCCACCAGAGGAGCCCAGTGCCTGAGGATGCAGCACCGGCCCAGGTGTGGTGATCGGCCCCTCTCCTGGGGACATGGACCTGGGGGCTGAATCCGCACCTGGCTCCAGAGCTGAGGGCCCTGAGGCCCCATCTGGATCGGGGCCCTGGGAGATTGGGGCACTGGGAGATCGGGGCGCTGGGTGAGGGGTGGGAATCTCACCCTGCACCCCCAGTGGTGTTTATGCCGAGAACGCTAACACAGAAGGGCAGCAACGACCAAGGAAAAAACCCGCAGATTGGAACACAAGGCCGCCTACATCAGCACGAGCACCTGCCCTGCTGGGAGCCGGGAAAGCGCCAGCCTGCAGAGGACTAGAGGAGAGTGAAAAGGACGCCAAGGCCATGGCTGGCCACGAGTGCCTGTGTGTGGGAACAGGGTGAGTGCGACCTGGGCTTTATGCGCAGGAGGACGGGGAATAGGAGCAGGGCGGTGGGTCACCTCTGTGTACGGCTCTGGTGTGACCAGCACTGGCTCTCGGGTCCAGTCTGCCCTGCAGAAATGACATGGAGACACTGGAGGGGCTCAGAGAAGAGTTACAAAGATGAGTCAAGGCCCCAAAACCTGCCTGTTTGTGAGAGCTGCATGGAGCTCCATGTAGTTAGCCTAGCGGGAGACATCGACGGAGGGCTTGCTGCGTCTCCAAGGAGATTTGATACGAGAGCTTCCTAGTCTAGCCGAACAAAGGGCAAGGGTCCTGGGTCCTGCAAAGCATTGCCCAGCCGTGCGACTGCCAGGCAGAGTCACTGGGGGCACCCTAGAGCCTGGCAGAGAAAATCCCCCGTCCATCCCGCTAGCCCCACAGCCAGAGGCTGATTTCTCTCCCCTCCCCCTGCAGGACTCCTGAGTTAGATCCCGGGTGTCGGATCCCCAGCGGGCAGGAGTTTCCTGTCCGTCTCTCTCAGCACCTTACTCAGCCTGGAGAATGCAGAACCGGGGGCCGGTCCCTTCTCGTCACCCCGCACTCTGCCACGCGCCAACCCCCACTGCCTCTGCCTGGGGATCCAGCCCTGTCCCTCAGTCCCAGCATTAACCCTTTCCCTGCCCCAGCTCAGCCCCACATCCCTCTCACTGACTCTGCTGCCTTCAGGGAACCTTTGGGAGCCTCTGATCCAAACTGGAAGGAACGAAGCATCTGGGGCTCCAGGATCTCCCAGGGGCTGATTACACCCAAAGCAGTGACTGTGGGGACCCCAGTGTCCCTGGTGGGAGGGTCCGGCCGTGCCATGCAGACGGCAATACATAATTAAGAGTTGTTTCTGGTCACTCAGCAGGTTTTATTACAGGACCTCCACTCTCCTCCTACAGCTGAGGATAGAGCCCAGAAGTCCTGGCTCCCAGCCCCCCGGACTCTGCTGTAACCCTGTAGACCCCACTCCCCTCCCAGAGTTGGGAAGACAACCCAGGAGTCCTCACTCCCACCTCCCAGCCCCTTTCTCGAACCCACTTCCCAGCCCCAGCCAGGACTATTATTATTGCTGTTGTAAGCAGAGTCTGAATGAGCTCTCTCCTGACAGCTCATTGGTGGTGAGCTGTGGAAAAGGCCTTCATGGGGGCTGATCTCGTTTGCATGGGCCCACCCACCCTGCCTAGGTGCTCAGCATGATGGGATTACTGGCCTAAATGGTCACTTTTGGCTGGTCTGGGATCCCCAGTCTTTAAGGTGCCACCGGCCTCCTCATGGCTTTTGTGGATACAGACTAACACGGCTGCCCCCCGATACCGGTCTCTTTGTTACTGGGGCAGGGGCAATAAAGGGTTGTTATCCTGGTTGTGTGACTCAGGGACAGCAGAACTGTACTTGGCATTTTCTGCTTGAGGGACTCACCCCCAACTCAATGGCACTCGCTAGGCAGGAGACATGGGTTCCAAAGAGCGGTCAGTTGAAAAGGTGGGCAGGTGTATGGGGTGGGGTTGGCTGCCTTGTGACCACTGTTTGCACTTCTCTAATAACAAAGCTACTTTATATTCAACTGAGGGTCTTATTACAAGCTGCAGCCCCTGCTACCTAGCTCTAAGGATTAGACCTGCTTTGGGACATGGTTTCTGATGCAAGAGGCTGCCTAATCCGCCATTGCTTACTGTACCCCGGCAGTGAGGCTCCCCCACTAACAGCAGTAATCACTGAAAGGTGAATTGGTAGATGGCAGGTAGAGAGCTGTAGTTGGTGAGTGAGTGGGTGGCTGGTGGGGAGGCCTAGCTGGGGGTGGGGGCCAAAGCAGAACCCCACAGAGGAGGGCGGCAAGTGAGCAGCAGAGCGAGTAAGCTGCCTCCTTACCCCCCCTTTCCCCCCGCGTGGGAGGCGAATTCTACAGCTGCACCTCTGAGCTCTGGGCCTGCACTGCCCAAGGACAGCAACAGTGAGTGGGTGGGGTGCAGAGAAGAGACGGGCACGTTTTGGGTTGCTGAGGGGAAAAGGACACGGCTTTGGTGGTGGGTCTTTGGTTCATGGTTTATGTTTTTTATAAACCCTGTTTGTTTCCCCAAATAAATGCCACATTATTTCCCTCCTTTTATTCAAAGGGTTTTTTTGCTACACTCAGACTCTGTGCTTGCGAGAGGGGAAGTGTGGCCTCTTAGAGGCGCCCAGGGGGGTGGTGTGTAATTCTCCCAGGTAGGGTTGCCAACTCTCCCAGAGTGGACACCATTGTGTGGCGCTGGCATCCCCATTTGTGTCAAAGGCATCCCTAGTCACAGGTCACTGGGGGGGGGCTCGAGCCAGTTCTGGGTTGTATTGATGAAAGGGAACCCCTAGATACTGAACCCGGCCCTTGTGGCTGCCAGGTCTGACGGGCAGGAGGGTTGCACTGGATTACTGCTGGGCCGAGGAGCCTGGTCATGCCCAGGACCCCCTAGTGCTTGGGGCTGCCCAGATGCAGAACAAAAGGATGGAAGCTACCCCCAGAGAGCCCGTGGTGCCCCACACCCAGCTCTGGAGATGGGCCCTGCCCCCAGGAGCTCTCAGCCCAGCCAGCGAATTGGAGCGGCCTCCCCGGCGTCCCGTAGTGTTGTCAGGGCTCCGTGTGGGTAGCTGGGCCGATGTCCCAGGGCCAATCCGCTTGCTTTTCTGGGCATCCCAGCTCAGCCGGAACGCCCTGAGAGGATTCCCTCCGGGTTCCCATGGCCCCTGCTGTACTCTCTCCCTTTGTGTACGTAGCTGGGCCTGCCCCCTGCCCCCGGGGCCTGGCTCCTGCAGTCCCCGGAGGGGCCCGCTGGGCAGCGCCTCCCTGCAGGGTTTACTGAATGGCACAAGCCAGCGCCAGCTCCCTGCAGATCCTGGATCCCACAGCGCTCTCACATGTCCAACGTGCCCCAAACGTCCAGGGCCGGTGCAACCACTAGGCGAACTAGGTGGCCACCTAGGGCACCTAGTGGTTGAGGGCGCCTAAAACCCGCTCAGGTGAGGAGGTGGAGTGGAGGTGAGCTGGGGCGTGGGGGG